ATTGCACGACTTAAGGTAAGTAACAATTTTAAATTTAGTTCTGATGGTATAAAATCCCATACTACGTGTCTTGTGATTGGTTTTGAGGTGACACACATGCTAGGTGACGGGCGTGTGGGCGTGTATCGTAGGAATTTTGATTTGGTCCATTCCATGGAGCTGTATAGATGAATAATCTGTTGTTATCTGTAAATTCTTCATGTGATTGACAAATTGAGCTACAAATCCTGTTAGAAATAATGTTTAGGCCATGCATTGGTATTGTAGGGTCTCTCAGAGGTAGTGTACATGTTAAATTATCCACTAACTGTTGTTTTGTACTCAGTCTCAGTTTTACTTGCATATCATATCTCAGTCTCTATTGTTCATTGTTGATACATTATATCATTTATGTTTGAGCTGATTTTTATGATTACTGAGAGCCTTAGAGACTGGAGATGTTGATGACTAAGCGAGGCCGAGCACTTGATTGTGAGTATATTTATGGGATCGGGCTGCAACATGTTTCATTGATTTATGCCATGAAATTCTTTTTATAATGCTTGGGCTGAAGGAGCCCTTCCCTCGTCTATACACACCCCCCCAGTGAGCACATGTACCTACTGAGTGTGAGTGCGAAGTGCCGAGCTACTGAGTGGAATGAGTGACTGTGAGGTTGGAGTGTATGGGAGGACTGAATGACTGTTGCTCTAAGATTATTCATTTAATTCCATTACTGTTGTACTTCAACTGGCATATATCACTGTCATGAAGTTTCTAAAAGATATTATATCCTATTTCAACAGAACTGGACATGAATTAACTGCTTTGGCCTTAAGTGCCAAACTTCAAAGCATGCCTATCTTCCCATGTTGTAATTTCTATAATTGAACTATATCCATGAAGCTCGTCACTACTTTCAGCCCATTATTTAGTCTTGTTACTTATTGAGTTGGTTGTACATACGCTACACCCTACCTTTCGTGTGCAGATCCAGGTGTTTATGGACACAGTGGGTGTTGATTTCTTGCACAGCTTGAGCGTACTTGTGTTGTATAGACGCTCATGTACTCTGTGACACCCCGATTTTTGGGGAACTTCCGCATTGAGTTTTGGGTTTTCTATCCTATTTATGAGAACTTTTATTATTTAAACTACTTTAACTCATTTTCTGTTCAAGGTGTTTGAAATATTTTGAAGTGTGGGCTTACTTAGTACCACGTTTGGCGCCATCATGACAGGCTAGATTTTGGTTCATGACAGCATTATTTGTGTGTGAGTTTCTTTATTGTGAAGGAATTCTCCAACCTCCCAAATTGTCTTGGAAATCGAGTGTGAAACACTCATTACAACAATCAAAAGATAACATATGGGGTAATTGGGCTTGGAAATTATTTTAGCACAATTGCACCATTGCTGTACCTTGTAGAGCATATCACCCAACGCTATAATTTACATAGAAAAAGAAAGAAAGGAGGAGAGATATAAGACTATACCTGGTGGTTGAGAGAGTGGCGAGGTAGTTAAGTGAGATTATGTTAATGCGTATGTGTGTGTTTGATGTTAAAGCTAGGGTTATTGTAATTGGGTTGGGTTGGGGGGGGTGGAGTTTAAAAGAGAAAATACAAA